GGGGCAGTGCCCCCTGCTCGCACCCAGCCGGGGATCCCAAGCCACGCGTGTCCCTGTCCCGGAGCTGCACGCTGCGCTGCAAACCCCCGCGCTTTCGATTTCTGTTGGTGTGGGGCGATTGTTTCACCCTGGATTCACTGGGTGAACACTGACAACGGCACCGACCCGTGGCAAAAGTGACCGTCCAGGGTGAGACCCCCAAAATATCAACAGGAGGAGCGTCCTTGTGCTTCCAACCAAAGCCCTCTCTTCCTTCCCCTCTGCGTTTTGTACCTCACCCCCAATCCAGGCCCGGACTCAATTCGTATCAATTTTGGGAAAAACTGAACTGACAGCAACAAGGCTCTGCTGAGGAGCTGAATGTGGGTGATTGAGTAAGAAATAGAACAAATGGTGAATAATCCAGCTCTGCTTGGTTTGCTGAGAATGTTCCTCCCCAGGAAGTGGGACCCACAGCACACTGCAGCATTCCACCGGGACAGGACCCATATAACTTCTTTATTGAGCTCTATATATAGCTAAAATTCATGGGTGCCATAATCCATTTAAAAACCACCAAGATATCTACAAACATTAAAAGGCTCTAAGATTGACCATCCCTTTTAAGTAAGAAAAAATAATCCCCAAACTAAGGAATGTAGCCCAAAGGAAAGGGAAGCTGCAGGTACCAGGGGCAGGTGGCCGAAGAAGCCTGATGCTGTGAGAAGGTGGCACAGTAGCACAGGGCCCCTTCCTTGGGGTTTCCACATCCCAAAAATTCCTTTTAAGATGTGGTGCTGCCACCTAAGCAAGGGGCAGGGGCAGCATGAGGATCTCATCAGTGGGTTGCAGCTGTGTTATCTGGCTCAAGGGAAATGGTCTCAACACATGTCAGGGATCTGTCCAGCAGGAAAAGCCACACCACTGCAATTCCCACTTCCCTTTCCCATCCCAATTCTGCACAACAGAACACAGCACTGCTAGGCAGGGGGATTTATGCACCACAGGCACCCAGCTTCCCCCAGTACATCACTACACCAGGAATCAGAATGCCACATTCCCTGCCCAGAAAAGCAGGATATAGCCCCCATGTGAGCACAAGAGGCTGAAAGACAGCACACACTGAAAGCTACTTTTAAACCTGTTTTTATCCTGCAATTTCTGCCTCAGTCTTGAATCTTTGTCCAGCCAGGTTCCCTTGCCATGTCTACCCTTTCCCTCAAACATCATCTTCACTCCCCTTCCCAAACTCTTCCATTCTCTCTGAGCCCAATCACCTGAAGGATGTCAGCAATGGCACAAAATCCCTGAGCAAGAGCTCTCAACTCCCAGTGCCCCTCACTCACCTTTGGGAAACTACAGTTCCACGGGGCATCAGTGATCTACACCCTTCTATCAGCTATTCCAGAGAATGCATCACAGTTTCCATTATGAACCCCAGGAGAAAAAGACTTTTTGCTTCCTGACCAACCGTTTATGCTCCAGCGTTAAAAGATTCGTTTTGGGCTTCTCATCCGTTTTGGCAAGAGGCTGTAGCTCAGCTGGGTGCAGCCACCACTGGCAGGCACCTTCCCAGAGTGGTGGGAGCCTGATAAGTCCAAAGGCTGCTGCTATCAGACCCACTCTTCCCAGTCAGAATCAAAGAGCAAGACCACACTCAAAGACAACAGAAGGAAACAAAAAAAAAAAAAGGCTGTATTTTATACATATTCTCCAACAAGTAATAAGGGAGTTTCTCCTCCAACTAAATACATGGGATAATGCACATCCACAGACCTAGATACAGCTGCTATAGCCTCAGGTGTAAGACAATACAGCTTCTGATTCTATGATCACAAGAAAGTCAGGAGGTTGGGGTAAAAATAGTACACATCACAAGTATAGAAAATTGAAGACAGTGTACAAAGGCTCTCAAACATAAAGCTTTCCCTCTCTTGAGTTTGCTTTTTCCTATCTGCACTTGGAGATAGAAATCAAACCTCCCAGCCACAGGCAGTCACAGCTGTGTAACAGCAGTCTCCCAACAACTCTAAAAAAATGTTCTTCCTTCAAAAGGGCTTTCAGGGATTGCTGAGTTTTGCCTTGTTACTTTAAACCACCACTGTGCTTAATGAACTCAAACACCTAAAAGAATAAGCTTTACTATATACATTTAATAATTGAGGAAAAGTTCTCTAAAAATATGCTTTTGAATTTGACAAAATGCTCCAGCTGCTCAGGTTGGAGGAACATCTCCAAGCTGTGCAGCAGCTTGTTAGCAGAGACCAAACTACACCACCTGAAGAACAGAAGCCAGCCCAGAACTTTCCCTGTGCTGCTGGGCTGCTCCTGCAACTCCACCCATCTCCTTCAGGGACAATCAGTGTATTCCAACAGCAACAACCCAGATCTACAGACAAGGAACCAACATCAGATGGGCCAAACTCTAAAGGGGAACAGGAAACACATGCCAGGGCCAAGAACAGAGGGACTGCCACATGTCAGAATCCATACAAGCGCTAATTAAAGCTTGTGTTTGCAGGGGGGAATGGGGAATCAACATGGAAATGCCAACAGAGCCTCACAAGACTGCTCCTGTCTCCTGTGTGACACCAGCTACAATGTTCCCATGTGCTGTAGAAGCTGATGGCCATGCTGGGGAAAGAAGGAAGCAGCTTTTCCTTTTGGGAGAAAGCTCTTTCTTATCATCATCCATGTCCTGTCCTTCAAAATCTGTGCCACTGAAAGGGCAAATGCACCACGAGCAGGTTAAATCCTACAGGGACCTCTGAGGCAGCTGAGGCCAGCACACTAGAAGGTATTTTTCAGCTTGGCTGCCACAAGCACAAGAATCTCTCCAATCTTTTTCTGCCAATTCTCTATGTCCTTGGAGACATCACACCAGAGCTCTCCGTGGCGAGGTTCAGCATTCTCACAGCGCTTCCTTACCTCTTCTTGTTGTTCCTACAGGGAAGAGAAATGACAGTTTGTCCTGGTTTGTTCCAGAGCACAGCCAAAAACTGAACCCTCCCTGATTCAAACACTCTTCCAAAGATTATGGCGGGGTTTGGGCTCTATTATTTTCAAAGGAAGTCCAAGTCAGAAGCAGCAAGTCTCCTGCCTGGCTGAACAAACTGGCTGAGCTGCAGGTAAGAAAATTTTGGTTATTGCAGATAAACTGCAGCAGAAATTTCCTTTGCATTACCACCTGCAGGAGCTGTGTCAAGTGAAAGGTCTCTGAAGTCAGAAGATAAACACCCCCATCATTTCAGTAGTACCAGCAGTAAAAACTGCTGGAAGAGATTAGAGCCGCCTGTTCTCTGGCTGTGTTCACGTGCAACCTGTACTTGACATTTGGGAAGAAACAGCCCCAGTTACACAAACCCAGCACCACAACTGGAGCACAATCCCCTCTAAGCAAGCTTGAGTTTTACAGGAGGAAGATTGATTTCAGAGATTTTTGCATGAACCAGCAGGACTGTGGACAGCAAAGCAGCCTGAAACACAGCTCAGCTAATGACAGCACCTTTTAAAAGCCACCACACAGGCCTGTTCATGCTCACTCATGACCAGGCGTGACAGCCAGCCTCCCCTGTGACCACACAGGCAGGAGCAGTGGCAGCGTGCTCAGCCCAGCACTGCAGCAATCCCAGGACTGGGCAACCCCTGCCAGCCAGGGATTGCTGCTACCTCCCCTGTTCCCAGGCACACACTCACCTCTGTGCCATGCTGGAGCTCAAATTTGTAAAAGAAGGCCCAGGCATCCCCCAGGTCCGAGTCTATCTTCACCGTGCGGTGGAACCACTCTCTGGCCTTGGTTATTTTACGCTCGCTCCAGAACAGCCTGTTGGGAAAAGCAGAGGGGAGCTGACAAACAACCTCACTCCAAAGGAAGATGCCAACCCACAAGAGCTCCAACTTAAGGGCTCTGCAGATGTTCCAATTCTTTGCTCTCCCAGGAAGTAAAGACCATCCTGCCCCTGGGAAGGGAAGAGAGTGAGAGGACTGGAAAGAACATCCAGCGCTTCCTCTTCACTGCCCCACCGTGAGGCAGGATAACTTAGCCCCATGCACAGATTCTGCTGAAAGGGAAACACTACTGAAGTTCAACCTTTGCTGCCTCAATTGCTTTAATTTTACTGTTCCAGATTTGGCGTGGAAGAGACAAGATTACATGCCTACATCTATTCCCACTCCTTCAATTTAAGTCAATTTTAGCATCTAACAATTAAATAACTTCTAAAAGCTCATCTGTATGGTCACATGCTCACACCTACAAAGCCTGCTGGAGTGGAGTGGAGCAGACCTGCCTTGTCAGCTCCATTTTCCAAGGAAAAACAAGTATGGAAGCTTCTGCACTCAAATCCCAGCCTGGCACAGCTCCACTGCTGCCATTTCACCCAGGCACTGGTCAATGCTGAAATTTCTCCCCAGTAGTGAACCAGCTGAGACAAGAGTTTATTGGTTTCACTTCTTTGCATTAAAGAATTCATTTGAGCTATAAGGTCCTTATCAAATCAGCCACCCCTCATAAAGGGCTTAGCCTGTCATAAAATTATACAGCTTATGTGATTGTTTTTAAGCCCTATAATACTCTTGATTGTCCTGTGTTAAATAAACTGTGATTTACAAGAGCACAAACAATGATAGCAGAGGTTTAACACCTGCAAGTAGTGGCCATTTCCAGCAACATACTTAACAAAAGTTTGTCACAGATGTGTGACACTCTGTATCTACAGAGGCAAGTCCTGATGGGTGGTGGAAGCTGTTTATGTTGGGATTAGCTGTTAAACAGCCTGAGGTTGCACCAGAAGGGGCCTGGGAGTTGCTGCCATAAAGCAAAAGTTAACATTTTTCTCACTTGCTGCTAAAGCTGAACAAGTCAGCTGTCAGGATCTGGCAGAACCCAGTGTTGCAGTCACTGGAGTGTATCCTACAGTTTTCTTTGGCTTATAAAGTAGAGTTGTGAAAGAATTGGGCAACTTCGAACAAAATGTCTCCTGTATTAACCTCTTCTGCTATTCACAAAGGGAGAAAAGTAAGTTTGTTTCCATCATGGCTGCTGTAAGGCTGCTCACACATCAGAGCAAGATGTGGCAGAAGTCAGTTCTAACAGTGGGTTTTCAGCACTGGAATCCTCATAACTCAACATGGACAAGAAAATTCCTAGTAGATTATCTTCCCTTTTCAGAGAAGCAAACTACGGTATGGCTGGTGGTTTGCATTCTGGGAAAGGGCACAGCTGAAAAACATTGACATAGGAGACATTCAGGAGCAGAATATCTAGCTCAGAATTTAAAAAGACACTTGACAGAATCTAGGATAGAGAAAAAGATGAAAACTATACAGTCAGCCACATAAAACTTGAAAGATAACAAAAAAAAATGCCCCTATTTTCACAGATACTTAAAACATATCCTGAACCCCTTAATAAAGCCTAGTTCACTGGACAGCACAGTGAAATCCTCTTCAAGGGACAGAAGGAAAGCAGCTTACAGGGTGCCAATACCCAGCACTGGCAAAGGGCTTTGTGTGACTGCATTGTTGACAGTGCCAGTCCCAGACCCACCAGAACAGCTCGAGGGCAGGCTGACATTCCCCGCTTGGAATCAAGGGAGAGATTTGCACAGTTACTAGGAGACAGCTGGAGAGCTGCTCCTTGCTTTGGGACTCATTAGAGCTGCTGCAGCCAGAATCACAGGGCTGTGCTGGAGCGCAGTGTTTCATCCTGGAAGCAGCCACACACTGACATAGATATTTTTATGGATCAAGCACAGGAACTCACTTGGCCACAGCCAGCAGGACATGTGGGTCATGTTCACACTTCTTGAGAGCATCCACACTCTTGGTCTTTCGTTGCGGTCGCGCTTCAAGGAAAATTGCTTCTGACCACAGGATTCCTTAATCAAATCAAGTAGGAAGATTGTTTAGTGTTATTTTGAGGTTAACCCTCCCCACCCTGATATCAGGCCAGTGCTCTGCAACAGAAGCAGCAGTACAGCTCCTACTCTGGTAGCTATTCACCCCCAACCTCATCCCAGATCACTCCTTCCACATGGATACTTCATTCAGTACTCTGAATTTTTAGCTACTATGTGTACCACGCTGGAACTTCAGCTCTGGGGGTTTCTGTACCACAATTTCTGCAGCTCCAGCACTGCCTAACCCGGAGCTCAGGCTTTTCAAATGAGACACTGCAAACTCTGGGACAGAGAGGGCAAATCAGCATTTCCAAAGGGAAAGCTATCTGTCTGTTTGAACAGGCAACTGCAGTGGCAGAAGTCTCAAAATGTGCAAAGTACAGTCTGAGAGCAGTTTCAAGGGTGCTGGAGAATACCACAGTGTTATTGATGCTGGCTCCACACACATTGATGAAGGACAGAGTAGATCCAGGGAAGCTGGGTTTAATCCCTAGCTTCTCTCACTGCCAAAATCAAGGAAGGAAATATGCTCAGGGGAGCATGAAATCTGCAGTTTCTCATGTCAGCCAGGCACACCTGATCACTTCAAAGCAAAGCCTGAGAGCTGGTGTCTGCCAGGACTCCATCAAAGCTCTCTTGCTTCCCATAAACAGCACCACGGGAACACACACAAGCTTTGATAACTGCAGTGACAGACAGAGAGAGACTCACTTCTTCTTGCTCTTTATATACAGGATCACAAACACCATAATATTTCTATTTTATTCTTTGTGCAGCCTGCCACCCATCAGGAATCAACTCAGCAATTGAGGGACCCAAACCTCTGGTTTACATGACCTCAGGTGGCCAATGAGCCAAGTCCTGCAGGCTTTGATTATGGTTTGTTGAGGTCTAAGATAAAGTTGGAAGCAATTGTTTAAACAAAAACTGAGATCCTGCTGCCCATTTCCATAGCAACAGGCAGATCTGTAAAACAGCCTGTGGTGGCAAACACTCATTAGGTCATTCACAGAAACAAAGCAGGATTTTGGGTGGTACTGCTTTGGTGACACACTCACATGGAGAGTATCTTGCAATTAGTTTATCATGTCATAAAAGGCACTTAATTCCCAATTATTTTACTGAGACTTAAGCAGCCACCAATTAAACACCTTTCAAAACCTAGCCTGAAGGCAAGCCAAGCCTTGCCATGCAGTAAGTTACTACAATTTGTAGTTATGTGACATCTTCTCCCCAAAGATGTCAACATGTTTAAATAATTAAGTCTTCCTACGATTCTACCCCAAAATAGCAATGTGTTAGGTACTTTATCCTCCCATCCCAAGAGGAAAATGTTTCCACTGCTGGTTAGAACTGACTTACATCATATGACCTCTTAGCCTTTTCTTACATGAGCTAAAATAATCAAAAACCAGGACTGAACTTTTATGGCTCATAAGCCCCTAATGATGACTGTGGTGGAAATTCACTGCCAGCACAAGTTATTAAACTCACAGTGTGCAACCAGTGCAGGCAAACCAGCAACTGGGAATCTCTTAAGGCCAGCTGTACTCCAGAGGGACCATTCCTTTTCCACTAAAATTCCTAACTACAAACATTGAAGTGTCTTTCCTTCATATCAAACCTTGGCAGACTTCTACCAGCTTCCGAGAAAAGCCCACCCATATCCAAGATGTTTTTGCAGGATGCCTGGGGACAAACTGTGGACCATGGATCCAGTAATATACTGGGCACTGCAGAAAAATGGAACACCAACTCATGATCCCTCAGGTGTGAGAGAGCACAAAGTAACTGGGATTGTTCTTGAAGACCCTCAGTATTTCCTCTGCAGAAGGAAAACTGATATCTCTCCAAAACACCAGATTCTGAGACCTGTCCAGAAAGCACAACTTGGGAAAAAAATGTGCTTCTATCAGCTGGAACAACAGTTGTGTTTAAGGTAGAACTGAGATCCAGCTCACCTGAATTGGGGCACTCTTGCAGTGCTTTGGCCATCAGAGTGTTTGCAATGTTCTTCAGCCCAGCTCGGTACTCCAAGCGCACAGATTCCAACCTGGTAGGGAAGAGGCTCTGATGATATTTATGACAACATTCACTAGGCTGAAACAGTGAGTCACTTGAGGGTCACTGGAAACTGCAAATATTTGCCCATATTCTGAATATGTGTAGGTGACTGACATCTTCCCATTCCCCCTCCATCTAAAAATAAATGTGACTTTTATTCCATAATGGTCCAGATAAAAAACAATCTGAAAACAGGAATGTAACAGAAAGGAAAGAGCCCCATGCATCCTGCATGCTCTGTACACCACAACTATCAGTAAAGAAATAACTAGTTCCCAGATCCTTAGAGTAGCTAGCCAGGATCACCAAAGCATTTCTGCTATTCAGGGAAGTTATTAGTCCAGAGGAAACTCCAGGATGGGAGTGGTCCTAAGTCCCAGGCTCAAATGGTTGAGGTGATGAGAAATAGCTGGCCTGAAGAACAGATTGAATTTGTAACCCAAATTCAGTTCAATTCCACACAACCCACCAGAGATCTGGATTCTTTGGATTCTTCAGGCGAGACTTTTCCAAGATGGCTCTTGCTCTAGTCAGCTGCCCAACTTTCTCCTCCAGCCTGGACAGCAAGAGCCACAGGGGTATGGAATGGGGGCACTTCTTCAACTGTTTAAAAAAAAAGAAAGTATGCTCACAGGTAAATTTGAAAAAAATTCTTGTTACTCCTATAGAAAAGAACTTCCCTCCCTATATCCTTCTAGAGAGTTTAGAAGAAGAGAGAGCAAGTTGATTATGTCTCTCAAATTTCTCCAGTCAAACAGCACAGAAGTGAAGTTTTTCCTGTATCCAAAATAGTCAGGTACATCAGGTATGATTGAGCTATCCCAGCAGTAAGAGAAAGAACACACCTCCCTTAACACAGCTACAATTAGTACTCCTTCTGCAGATGGAGGGCTCTCATACATCCCCAAACCACAGCAGAGTGTGCAGGGAGTCATTAGGATATGGACACTGCAGAAACCTGTGTCCAAATTACTTTGATGGCTGTTGACTGAGTGTTCATACCCAAGGCCACCAATTACCATTTAAAAGAGAGAGAAGTGCTCTGTAGGCCAGCTCCTTTCACAGTGTGTATCTAAGAGCTGCTGAGAAAGATTTTCTTTTAAGAGTTCTGGTTTTAGTCATTACAGGTCTTAGAGAATTATTGTGCAAAGCCTTTTTTCCTGCCTGTGAGGAGTCAGGCATACAGAGAACTCTCTCAAGCAAGGAAGTCATCTTGCATATGGGTAATGGGCAAGAGAAATTCTTGCTTATTTCATTTTTTGTTTTCTTTCACTATTTTAACCAATGACAGAAATCATGTCTTTGGCTCTCCATTTTCATTCAAAGATAGACATCTCTCCATGCCAGCAGCACAAAGCAAACCTGCAGTAACATCCATCTTACCCCTTGATTATAAGCCTCCCGTGCTTTCTCTACCAGCTCTTTTTGCTCCTCAATTTGTCCTTTCATCATCCACAGTTTGGGGAAGTCCTCATAGTGCTTCAGGGCTTCCTCACAGAGCTCCTGGGCTGCAGCAATGTTCCCAAGCACCCATTCCAACTTCACAGACTTCATGAAGACCTGGGAACAAACCAGAGCTGTTTACCACCAGCAGCCATTGGAAAACCATTAATCTCCCAAAGCAGCAGGTTCCCATTTTCATGCATCCATTCAAATGTTATTGATTAGCTGCAGTCTGAAGTAAAACAAAAATTAAAATATCAAAGTAAAATAATAGCAGGAGAAAGTAACAATGAGAAAGGTAAATGCAAATACTAAAGAAGTTAGAGCAGTGTGATCAACCTACATCTCACCTATTTACATAATTATTTCATAGAGCTGGCATTTTTATTATCACAGAATCATAGATTGGATGGAAAAGTAGGATTTGTATAAAGAGCACAGCTTTAACAGCACAACCAATTAACAAACCTGAGCCTCCTTCACCAGCACAATCTGATCTCCTCAGATCCAAGCTACCAAGACCACCTTTTCTTACTTTTGGCTTCAGGTTCTAATTGTCCTGCTCAATACAAATTGGTACATGTACTTTTCTGTCCCCCAAATCCTTCCTTCTGGCTAAGCAGGGAAGTCACAGCTAAGAAAAATATATTATAGGCCAAAGGCTCTCTCACTGCTCTTTGATCTCCATCCTCCCCATTCCCAAACTCCCCCACTGTGACCTCACAAGACAGGCATCAAGTGTGAGAGCAGCGCTTCAGCCTCAGCTGCAGAAGCTCCCTGGCTCAGGGTGGAAGAACACAGTTAAAAAGATGTAGGATGCAACCACAACTGAGGGGGAGGAACAGAGGATAGAGATCAAACTAACTTTTCATTTACTTGGACAAGGTATAATGTTTCCATTTGAGGAGCTGAAAATTGACAGTTTATCATACCAGAGGTAACTGGTGATAAACACAGGAGTGTAACTTTAAGCACCAAACCACCCCAGAGCTGTCTTTAGTAGAAGCATAAGTGAATCTTCTGTGAAAGTATTTTCTCTTTTTTCCAAGATGTGCTTTTATGCAAAACAAACATTACACAAACAGCTGTAAACTGGGAATTTCCTGACTTTTGCCATTTGTGTAAAAAACCAATTGAAACCCTTCACTTGATCCTAGCCTTTTTTTTCCCATCATGCCACGACTTTGTGTCGCAATTCGCTGGAGGAGCGCTCAGCAAAGCGGCCACATGCCCCGGAAGGCAATGGCAGGGAGCCATGTGGTCAATCCCTGCAGCCACAGAACTGAAGGAACTCCTCCTTCCGTCCCAAATCCACCGTGGCCTAGAGGCCTGAGCCTCTCCACCCTCCACACGTCCTTACCCTTGCAGTGGGGGCACTGCTGCGAGCCTTTGCCAGCAGCCTCCTCGCTCTTTCATACTCATTGTTCTCTGACTCGAGCTTCACGGCAGCCAGCCAGATCTCCTCGCTGTTGGGGTTGGCCTGCAAGAACACAAAGTGACAGACAAATGCACACAGTGAATCAACAGCAGATTTAATCCTCTGTTTGATCCAGATTAAAATTGAAATCAGAACTTTGTCAATCCACAGTAGGATTTTTTTCAGTGCAAGCTCCTCCCAGTCTTCTTTGACCTTTGAAGTTTATAGAAATCCTCCAAAACAGATGGCCAACACAAAGATATATGCCAGTTTAGAAGCTGGATGCTTCTCAATTGTTGAAAAGCAGTAATGCTTGATCTTCTGAACTTCCAGTTTAAATACTGAAAACATCACAGGGTCTGCCACAATGAGACCCTCATTTTATTACCCTCAAGCAAAAAAGCTGCAGCTTGAATTCCCCACTGAGGTCTGTGAAAACTCTTCCAATAAAAGTCATTTCTGTGGTAACCACGTCAAGAACTTTTCAGCCTAGTAACAAAGAGCACTGAGAACAGATTAAGGAAGTATCTTTTACCTTCCATTTCAGGACCTGTCTTTTTTTATTTCATTTAGCTTTTAAGCCTAATTCCCAGTGCTAGAAACACTCTGCGTATCTTTGCTACAGCATCCAGCAGGCAATTCCCTTCATTAGTGGGTTTGATCCAAGACATAAGTAATGCAGTGACCTCATTAGGGCAGACCACAATCCTTTCCCTGAGGAGACCCAAGACAACAGGACTTTGATCCATGACTAGGGTTAGTGGGAGCCATGCTAGAACTGATGGTCTGCAAACTCATAGAATCACAGGCTGGTTTGGGTTGGAGGGACATTAGAGATCATCTCATCCCCATCCCATGAGTAGGGATGCCAAGCATCAGACCAGGTTGCCCCATCCAATCTGGCTTTCAACACCTCCAGGGATAGGGCAGCCACAACCTCTCTGGACAACTTGTTCCAGGTCAGAACCTGCTGTAGAACTACTAAAAGGGCAATCCCACAGCCTTACTTCCTGCTTGCTGCTATTTTACAGAACATTTTTCCACACAAAACAACCAAATAGCAGAAGTCTCCATCACTTTGAAAGGCAGCAAGAATCAGGTGTTGACAGAAAAAGCCTGCTCTGTATTCTTTACCTGTCACATTTAACACCCTCTGACAAGTGTAACAGACCCACCTGGAAAGCCAGGGCCAAGATGCTTCTGGCTGCTGGCACATCTCCCGCCAGCCACTTGGATTTGGCTCCCATGAGCCACAGCACCTCTGCTTTGGGACAGTGAGCAACAGCTCTCTGCAAAAGAGCCTCCAAGGATTCTCTGAAGACAAGAAACAGCAAGTTACAAACCCTCAAGGTACTGCCAAAGGCGAGTTCTCTTACACCATTTTCACTATCACTCAGTGTTATAAATATTGTTGCAAAGTCCAGCGTTGTAAACCTTGATAAATTGTTTCATAACAAGGAAAGGGTGGGGTCTTTTTTCACAAGGGTTCTGAAATCAGCACTCCACAAACAGCTCATTGTTCAGACACCTTTGATAGCCTCTGTGGAAAGAGCTCTCACACAAACAGCTCCTTTCTCTTGGAAAGAGTCATTCTGCTTAACGAACCTTAGTAGAAACTGAGACAGGAAGGTTTTCAAAATTATTAGATGAGGCTGGCTTGATCTTATGCAATTTATTTTTTTCTCCTCTGGCAAGTATACTTTTCAGGCAGAATATGGGGCTTAAAAGCCAGCCACCACTGGGAAACATGCAAAAACATCAAAACCAAAGATACACTTGTTCCCAATAAAAAAAAGGCTCGAATGAGGAAGAACTCAGCATCTGCAGTCATTTCCACAACATAGCCTTGTTGGCTTTAATAAGGATGATTCCACGTGTGTAAGTGGCCTACTGCAGAGTTTGTTTGCTTTAATCTAAGCTGTAGGCAGAAAGTTTCTGACATGTAAAGCTTTGTGAATAAACTTTAAAAAGAGCCTGAGCTGTAACAGTATAGCACCAATCTTAATTCAGAATGCGATACACATTCACAGTGTTTAATCAGAAAATACCAGAGATGCTTGGACACATTTAGCTATGAAGTAGTTTATCTATGAAAACTAAATAAAACACATTTTAAGTGATTGGTATCCCCATATTTTTCCAGAGATGTCTTCTCAAAGACAATTGTTCCTACCTTGTCTCTTCACAGCTATTTTTACCATGTAATCCCTATTGCCATAAACCATTTTATGACTTCATAAAACTTAAGGATGTTCTGAGCACAACAGTGACAAACAAGGTCAGACCTGCAAAAAACGCCAGTGAATTTCATCCAGCTGCACTAACTCTGCACTTGCACCACACCAGGGACCATCCTGTAGTTTTCCTTCCTTCCCCAGCCTGTCCCCCTGTCACAGGGATGGACCCCTCCACGCAGGGATTGTGTGGCACACATACCTGGTTCCATGGTTCTTTTCAAAGTAGGCTGCTCGCAGCCACACGCTCTTCTTGCTCGGGAAGACTTGCAAGGCATAGGCATAAATGGCTCGGGCACACTCCAGGGCATTATGAGCAACACACTGAGGGAAAACAGATCAGGACTAAGTCAGCTTAGGGGAGCGCTGGAATCGAGAGCAAGCAGGAATTACACATGCACAATTCAATCCAGAACTCAGTAACTCTGTGTAATCCGTGAATTGAGGAATTAATAGAGAACAGAACACTTAGAATCAGCTTTTTAAAAGGAAGCAGGGAAGGAATTTCCGAGTATCCCTCTATAGAGTACAAGTATCCCTGGCCTTTCAGTGGGACTGACACTCACAGGCCAGCTTGAAACATCAGTAAGGCATTGGAAAGGCTCTCATGTTAGCACTTCATTTTGTTATTTCACAGGCAAAACCCTAGGCACCGCAGCATATGTCCCCCACTGCTCTGAGCCCAATTCAAGGCCAGTGAAGTTGGACATTTCTCATGCTGAAATACAATTTAGTTCTTAGCACATGTTCAAACTATTCCCCTAAAGCAAAAAAAGCCTGGTAAAACTTTTACCCACTCCCTTGTCCAGTGTTACATTAACTCCTAAGTTACAATCTCTGTTGATGTCTCACACTCAACAAAAAAAATCCACACCAAACTAGCAGACAAGCTATACCAATGTCAATGTATTGTTTAGTAAAAATTCAAATCTGAATAAAGCTCTGTAACATCCTCCTGAGGCTGAGACTGGCCAAAGGCAGGCAGGTGGTGTGGGGATCACATCCACTTTCACTGACAAAGCAGTTTCTTAGGCACCAGTTGAATTTCCTCTATTTAAAAAACACAAAGCCACAATAAAACAAAACAAAAAGCAGCATCACAGCTGGACATACACTGTCTGCATCTTCCATCCAGGTGTGTTTCCGATCTTCTTCCTCGATGCCAATCCCAATCACAGCTCTCATGATTGCCTGGCACGTGGCCACACTTCCAGCTTTATCACATTCCTCGGCATCCTAGAAACAAGAGGAAAGCCCTGCTCATTTTGAGAGCTCAGCACAAGAGGTTAAAGTCTGCAATACCAACTCCTCATGCACAAACACAGAGACATTGTGGTCACTGCCACAGGACAAACATCTCATTGCTCAAACACACCTTGACACTGAGCAGGAGCCTGCACCCACAAGTGCTAGAGCTGTACACAGAGTCATTCACAAGTTGGTTAAGAAACAGATCACATCAATTCCATCTGCTGAAAAGGTGACAATGTGTGGGATCTTTCCAGACCCAGAAGTCTTTCCCTACAGCTCCAAAACCCTGGGCTGAACCAAGGAGGGACATGGCCAATAAAAAATACAGCTCTTCCTTATGAAATTTTTGCAACACCAAAATTACTGACCTCCTTTCAGCTTTGAGATGATTAGGTCTCAGTAAGGGCTTGGCAGTAACTAAATTTAAGAGTATCCCATCAAGCACTGTAAAGTCAAGGTACAAAGACTCTCTCACCAGAGCATGTATGGAAAAGTGGAGTTTCCTGACACACAAAGCTTTCAGAAAGCCAAGCATGTCTTGCTTATACTTGTTGAAAAGCCCTCTGATCAGATAACAGAAATGGAGCAGTTCTAGTACTAAGAAGGAACTCGAGAACACAGTGATGCAGAGGCTGTGCTCATGGATTTTTTTAAAGAGAAGTTGAAATTAACCTTTAATTGTTTTATTGCTGTAAAGAAAGTCAGAATTCTTTCAGATATTAACAAGGATATACATTTAATATTAAATATTTAATTCATTATCAATGCTCTTAATCAGTATAAGATTTTGCTGCCTTGACCCACGGTAAACTATTTAAGTAGGAATCTGCTTTAAAGACTTATGATCCAACAAAGCACAGAACATATCCAGGAGGAAAGAGCTTCAGTACAGGACTAATAGAGTATTTCCTACATGCTGCAAATGCAGTGTTTGTATTGATTTCTCATAATGCCATCTGACAAAGACTTGTGGGGAAAACAAATACCTGTCAAGCCAAATGAGACATATGCAAAAAAAAAGGTAAATCCTTCACTGAAGGCTTTAAGCCTCTGTCCTACTTAAGGCAGCAGCTGCTTCAACTTGAAGCTACTTATCTTCCATGACAGAAGCAAACCAGACTTTTCTCAGCCAAACACATCTGACATTACCCCAGGGTATCACTTATGGCCTTGACCCTACTGAGCTTTTTAGTCTCATCTCTTGTCTCTTCACAGGGACCTCCACTGATAAGCCAGTGCCAAATTCCTCTGCACACCATTAGCCCTAAGAGATGTGATGGCTCTGTCAATAATTTTCTCCACCATCTGGGTGTTTCCATTGGCTTCCTCCAGTTTGGCAGCAGTAATCCAGATGTGACGATCTGTCGGGATATTCTCCCGGGCTTTGTTAAGGACTTTACGAGCATTCTCATATGTCTCCAGCCTTGCCAGCGCCAGCCACAGCTGCAGAGCAACAAAAGATGGATTTGAGATGAGAACAAGGAGATGACAAGGCTGCTGTATGGCAGTGTCAGCCCACAGAGATAAGCAGTTTCACGCTGCTTGCTACTGGTTGGCAACTGTCCTCAAGCACTGTAAGCAGGCTGTGGAATACCAATGGAGGAGAGGAGAAACAGGCTGCTACTGCCCTTGAAGCTCTGTCCTGATCATCTCTGGGTATCATCCCCACCTTCTGGGCTGTACACCTCCTATTTTCTGTTCACATCACCTCAAACAGCTTGGTTTAAAATCAAAACATGATTTTAAAACCCTGGTTTGGTGTTTCCGAAATGAGTGACTTTTAAATTCACCAAGTTAAATGTTCACTTACTTTCCCAACTGTCAAGGCAGCACACATGGACACAAACATGGCTCAGTGCCTAGAGCAGGCACAGCTGTGCACTGCCATGACCAACCTAACAATTACACACCAAAATGAGGCATGTAATGACCCCCAGACAATTAACTCCAAAGGAAAAAAACACATTCCACTACTCATCACATCCTTCCCACTGTGGCATGAAGCACATGGGCGAAAACCTTGCACGGACAAACACTGCTCACCCTGCCTTCTCCCTGCAAAGCTCTACTGCCAGCCTGAAGTGGGGTGTAGGGGTTTTTGCATTTCACTTTTTTTAAACTCACTTCAACACTGGTTGGACAGCACTCCACAGCCCGGCTCAGCATGATCCTGGCATCCTCAGGTTCCTCCAGCTCCACGGCTGCTTTCCACAAACGCACTGAGTTTGGAACGTGCTCGAGGGCTAGAGAGGCAAAACAATTATGTCAATAATGATAAAGTAGCTTACCAATGAGATCTGTATTTTTAAAACATGATAAAATAAAGGACTTGTGCTATTACAAGGAAATGTCCTGAAGGAGGGAAGGGAGGGAAGTTGCTTATTCGGGCTCCTGCTTCAACAATGAGAATTTAAAATCAGAAAATTAAACACTTAATCATTTTAATTGGAAACAGGCTTTGGAGAGCCAAGAGCTTTTTTGTTGTACATGCTGTAATTGCATCCTCCTCAGTAAAACACCTGGCAGAACAAAGCCTCCAGTTTCAGCAAATGAGCAGATGAAAATCTTCAAAACTGGACAGCTTACATCACACCGGGTCTGCCTTGATAGAAAAGGAGCACCTTCAATACTAACTAATAATACAGCCTTGTTCCTTACATGCTGAAACTGCCCCTTCACAATGCAGTTTTCCTGTAAGCCTCTCCTGACAGCTCAATGGACCCCAGCTTAACTTCCCAAAAAGCTGTTGTCCTGCCATGGAAATACAAAACAGGGATGCATAAAAATGTAAAGGTCTCATTGACACTAAGCCAGGAGTACCAAGTGTGCTTCCAGCAATCCAATATGGGCTCCATCTAATTAGGATTCTTCAAGGCTTCCTTAATCCTGTCCAAGAGTTAGCTGCTGCTGGTAGAAATACATTCTCTGCAGCCTGTCCTACATGCGCTGTCTGAAACGTTAAATGCTAAACAACAACTTTCCTCAGTCCGTCTCGTTAAGAGAGATTGAGAAACCAAAGGGGTTTTTTAGCCTTATGTCACTCCAATTTGCACCCTAGACTGCTGGAATCAGCTGCATTGCAGCATTACTTTCACTGCTTCCATGGTGACTGTACACAAATGTGCCATAGTAACAGGACTGAGCACATCCCTCTTCAATAAAGCAAGCACAATCACAGGAACACAAAAATGAGTGGGAAAAGGCATCTAAACCCACTTTGGAACTAGCTGGGCTTCCAGGCAAGGCTGTTCCTTGAGGCATTGCTGCAGAGGCACAGGCACAGGCATAGTGCTGAGCCTCAACCTAGAGCACATCCCACCTCAACACAGAGATTTACAACAAACATTAACCATTTGTCTCCAAGTCTGCAGCTTCAGGAGATTTTTCTTGAAGAATTTAAGCAAATAATGTCAGCCTCCAAGAGCTGTAAGCATCACTCTGCAGGACAGAACGTTTTCATAAATACAGAATTCAATTTTTAGACCTCAAAGCTGTATTTCAGCCACTCAGCTTGTTGGGTCTCCAGTCAGACTGAGGCTTTAAAAACTCCAGAGGTTCTGATGGATGGTAGCAATGCACACAGCAAGCAGAGAGGAGAAACACATTATGAAAGGTCACACTTCAGTGACATTATCTGGCACTCAGTTTTTTTTATTTTGGGAGAAATAATGGGTTATGCTGCCACTCAAAGCTCCAAGCTCCAGCTCACTAATGCTCCCTAGGCAGCAAAGGAGCACTGTGAAGCTGTTAACAGGTAGAAACTGGGAAGAGAATGATAAATCCCGTTCCATTCCACTAACAGCTTTGCATCAAGAGATTAGGTAGGTGGTTTCAAAAACTGAATGTTTTTCTCTTCATAAATGCAATGTTTGAAGCAAAGCTCAGTACTCAGTGGCTAAATCACTGCTCTCACACAAGACCCTCCCCTACCCAAGCTGGACTCACAGATCTAGTTCTGCTCCTTTAAAAGTGTTTTTCTGTTCAACATCTGTTACTGTTCCTGAGAAGGACATGAGGTGTCACAGGAGCAGCACTTCACACCATGTTGCACTGCAGAGCCAATGGAAATTAAAAAAGCTAAAAAAGCTACTGGATAGTTAATATCTGAGCTCTTTAGAACTTCAAATCCAGCAACTTTGAAGTGCCTTTCATCCAGACGTAGTAAGAGGTCATTTCACTAGATCTGCAACTTTACATGCAAGAGGTAAAAGGTAGGAGGCAACTAATTCCTTTGAACCTAAACCATTCAATACTGCAGACTGTTTCACAGTGATTCAGTAACTGTATTAAATGCAGACCCTTTTCCCTGTCTAGATGAAAGTCAGGAGATGTAACTAATACAATTCAGTAGTCATGAAGGAACTAGTCTCTATTAATACAGGCCCAGCAACTTAAACTAACACAAGAAACTGCTGTTGAAGAGATCATTGTTTGGAAAAGACAGCAATTCCATTAAAGAGGAAAACCTCCAAGTGCAATCCAAGGTAAGCACCATAGAGAAGGCTGTTTGTCAAGGACAAAACTTGCTACACTAAAGCAAATCCTGCAGCTCAACGATATGAGAACCCCAAGACCTCTAAAGCTCCTCCAGCAGCAGCGACTGTGCTGTCTAACAGGCTACAGGCAAGTAGGAAAAATCAATTAAGGTATCTTTTCCAAAAAGTATCACAAGGTGACATCTAGAGCACCCTTTTATCCTTAGAAGATCATTTTTTAATTGCTTTCATCTACTTATCAAGCTGGAATTGGCTTAGATTAGTGAAATTCCATTTTGGAATTGTTCAGTACCAGCAGCTTTCTTCTGAAGGATGTTTTACAAACACTTCAACACCTTTGTTCTTTGGCTCAATAGCAGCAAGTTCCACCATTAGTACACAAATTGACAACTGCGATTTCAACAAGGAAGCAAAAAAAGCAGATGAACTTTTGGCCACATCATGAACAACCTACAACACAATACAAAGACTGCAATGCCTTCATTCCCTGAGCCCACAGGAGCTCTCACCTTTCCTAAGGACACGTTTCTTGGCACGGATGTCTGTCTCCAGCTCTGCTGCTCTGATATAGATCCGCACGGACTGTGGCAGGTGCCGCACAGCCTGCGCCACAACAGCCTTGGCTGTATCTCCAGGCTGAAGCCGAGCAGCTTCCAACCAAACATCTTCACTCTGTCAGGAAAAACAACCCATCTCCCTTTACATCACAATAAGAATATAAAATCACAGCTTCTGCCTAAGCAGGTGTTTTGTAACACAGTAGACAGTGAAGCTGTATCAGGTAGAGCCTCAGTCAAGCTTAACAGAGAGTTTGCTGCTCATGAGCAACTTCTTCCTACTATCCCACAAGGATCAGCAGAGAAGCAAAGCAATTCTGACCTTAGGGCACATCTCTGTTCCTTTCATGATGAGATTTCGAGCCACCTGGAGTTTGCCAGTGACCTCCTCCAGTCGGGCTGATGCTATCCAGGCTGGTGGATGATGAGGATTGGTCTCTCGGACAGATTTCAGGAGCAAACGGGCTTTTTTGATATCACTAAAAGAGGAAAAACAGGAAGAAAAATTTTCAGCACATTGGAAAACAATTCTCCTGAACCAGGATGTGCTCAGATGCACAGTAACCATGATCCCAAATTTTTCCATTTTGGAGACACAAATGATGTTCTACCAAAACAAGCTTATCAATACAGACCAACACAGTGAAAACCAGTTCACAGTTTCACAGTGAAAACCAGTTAAGGATTTAAGCAAAATTTTTGGGAATTACAGCTGGGCACTTGCAGCCAGAAACTGATAAGCCCAAGCACTGATGTAAATCAAGAATTAGCATCAATATTTGCATGTATTGCTCTGACTTAAAAGAGCAATTCTTTATGAAACAGATGTCAAACTCCAGGCTAAAGAGGCTCTCAGAGCTCATCAATCAAGCCTAAATTAGCAGCACATAGGTACAATTAAACAGGTTATTTCCTGGCTGGCAAGCAGCCACACACTGCCATCACTCTGGCATGGAAATAGGGGTGGAATGGAAACAGTCTCCACAATTGATGCATCCAGGTCAGATGCTAATACCTCAGCTGAAAGACTAGACCAGATCTCATGTTAAAAGAATTCATCCTCAAAAACTCACCTGGCATTTCTTACAAACTAAATGCCAGCTGAAAGCACCCACGCAAGACAGATTTCCATTTACATGCAGGATCAGTGCCACTGCTAAGAGGATAAATCTGTTAATCCTTCTTAAACTTACTTGATATCTCCTCCGTGTGTGGGAATCATGGAGTTCAAGTCTGTCAAATATCCTTTTGGGTCCACTACAGTCTGGCCGCTCACAGAGTCTGATACCTGGGAAAATCAAGTCAGAGCTACTGAAATGACCACTCAGAGCTCCTGAGTGCCTAAAAAGACACTGTGGTTCTACAAAAATCCTAGATATTCATCTGTTTCCAAAAGCAAGGAAGGAGGAAAACACGAAGCCTTACTTATTAGCTTTTTTCCATTTCTGAAATACACAACTTTAACATTAAAATCCAGACAAGAAGCAGCTTGGTGATAAGCAGTCACCCAAAGGTCTTGTAGCCCCATCAGCTAAAGGCATTCATTTTAGAATAAATCAGATTTAGATGAGAAAATCAATGAAAAAGAAGTCAAAAATCAGTGTTTTTCAGCAGTTTGTCCTGCATCCCTACAAAGGACAGAAGAGATGCTTCCCTTGGTAGCATTACCTGAGCTGCTATAACCAGGCAGTCTGTTCTCCCATAATGACCAAGACTTCCAAGGACAAACTGGTATTTCTCATGAAATTCTATTCATTTTGAGGACATGAGATTTGGGGACAGGGACTACAAAATTATTTCACAGCTCAGCTGTTCTGAGATCTTCTAACACCCAAGAAAATTCAACACTTTTCTAAAACCAGGACTTAAACAGCAGCACAACATCAACCCCAGGTATAACTGTGACAGATCCTGCCTTCCCACATCCCTACCTGGCTGAGTCTCATATCCATCAAGGTGTTCCTGGCTTGACCAATCTTCCTCATATCCAATTCACCTGTCCCAGGTGTCATCAAGCCTGGTGTCATTCCTCCTGGGTATGGAGTATTCAAACCTCCTGGATACGGAGTATTCAGTCCACCAAATTGCTAAAAAAAAAAGAAAAAAAAAAAAAAAGAGTTCAGATTATTGGCTGATGTCCACTCCCCCAGAAGGTGCAGGACATAGATGCTGAATTGCCACAGGTACTTCTGATATGGCTTCCCTGGATCTCAAAGTATTACTCTAGACAGTATTTGCAAATCTATAGGTAATTACTCAAGTTTAGTCAAGTCAGTGAAATAAGCAACAAGAAAGTGAAAAATTCAAGCACAGGCATCTGAACATGGCATATTTAAACAAGAATATCTGCAAAGAAGTCCCATGGACACCTGGAGCAAATCTAGGGCCAGTCAGCTAGTCCTACAATTCTATGACCATTGTAGACTCTGGGCGCAGAGCAACAACCTAAATTATTTCACTTTTAGTTAACTGAAAAGCAAACAATTCTTAACACAATCATCCCAGAACTAGGCAAACCATTAGGTGAAAGCAAACTTGATTTTCTGCTCCCTTTTTGCAAGATGTTATTGTAACAGAAATGGTTACACTCACCAAAACTATCACCACCCTGCATTCAGCAAATAGGAAAAGAGACACTTTCTTCCATCTCTAAAACAAGAGCCAGTTTCTCTCTGCTTATCCCCATGTTTTCTCTGTTAATGGTTGTGCACTGAAAGCCTCCATCAAGCATATGAGTTTAACATCCAGAATTCCTTTGGCTGACTCACAAACCACACCAAGTTTTTTTTGGTCAAGAATCTTTTTCCCAAATCCCAGTTTAACACTCATCTCTGATCCAGTTTGGCCACAGCTTGCCCAGGTTTGCTGTGTACTCACTGTCTGGCGTGGGTCCACAGAAGTGTGATTCTCCCCCGACTGCAAATGCTTTGCAAAGAAGCTGTCAGGGACAGGAGTCAGCTTCTCATAACGAGGATTCCTCTGCCGCTTGTTCCTGGCATCCCCAACCTCGGGAATACTCAGCCACTCCTCCTCAGTAACCTCTGCTAATTTCCGCTGTTAAGACAGGAGTTGTCATCAGTATTTGCTGCAGAAATGGCTTTTTAAGTGCTCTAACTCCTTAATAGATTTATTTTCTTGAAATAATTCAAGATCAATTAAACACTTAAGGGTCAGACTTTTTTTCCTAATCCAATGTACAAAAGAATTAGATGCATTTAATTGGAATTTGGTTTTAGTCCAGACTGAGATTCCAAATCAATTTTGTTATTAGATTCAGTGCTACAAACATTCAGATTAATCCTAGTGCCTGGAGCATTGAATGGTACATTACTAATCATTAGACAACAGCTTAAACAATACATTTTATTTAAAAGAAGGTTTAGAGTCAGGAGATTCTGCTCAGCTACTCCTGCAATGCCAACAAGTTATCTGCTTCCTTCAAAGACATTCATATAGCACCTTCCATAAAGCATAAAACAAAAATAATCAATATCAAAATTTGAAGAAATTTCACTGCCTTGTGTATCCACACGGACAGTGTTTATTCTTCCAACAGAAAGCAATTCTAATCTGGAGAACGTCGAATTTCTCATTTGCCAACACACAAAATCTGAGTGAAGAGACAAACACACATGAAAGAACACACAGCCACCTCTTGTATCTCATAAAAAGTCACATTTCAGACATTTTTTTCCTTACTTTCAAGTCTGAGAACTGCTGTTGAATTTTGGGTCTTTCCATACGGTACTTTTCTATTTCCTCTTTTTCTCGTTGTTCCCTTAGGAAAAGGAATCCTGAGGTTATGCTCAAAGTAACACTTGGCAAGTCTTTGATTAAAGTGTTGACATAACAGAAAAATGTGTTTGATAAGAGTTAGGGCATAAAAAAAAGGCATTTTTTCCAAGCTTAGATTATCAACATTTTAACAAGAGATCCTTTACCAAATAAGACAGTATTATAGTGTAACAGACATCTCCAGCCTTTAACCTCCTCTTAATGAGTAGTGAATTTAATAAGTAACACATCCTGTTTACAAGCATGAGGTGACTTTGCTAACAATTTCCAGTCTACTGTGCAGTCTGTGATATGTCAATATCAATTGCTCAGCATCTTCCCTCACCATCTTAATGAACTACAGTGACTCTTAATTAACTACATTTAAGCAATTTAACCCCATTCACTATCAAAGTAAGTGGTGCAAAATACCTGTCATCCTCAATTAAGCAGAAAACACCTCCTACCTCCTTTCCTTCCTGCGTTCATCCATCCTCTTATCCAAAGCTGCATAAATTGCATCTGCTTCCTCATCATCTTTCTCATAGGGGCCGCTTGAGAACAGACTCCCAGCGTAGCCATTGAACTGGGAAATTGGAGAAAAAAAAAAAAAAAAGAGGAAAAAAAGGCAATTTTTTAAAAGTTCCTGTTATGTTTCTGCTACAGACAACAACCACCTGAAAATGCATTCACAGGCTGCTTCTGACAACATTGCATCAGACTAATACATCCCTAAGTAAAAGCATCCTCTTTCTACCATGTCATGGTGGTGTTTATTCTCTCTCACCAATTGAAGCAAAACTGCTTCAAAATTGCTTTTTTCAAAATTGCTTCTCTCTCTAAATCACTTCTCTTCAGCAATAAATGAGATCCCAGGATAGAAAAGCCATTCTCTTCCATTAACCACTTTTTCTTTTTACACCAGTGAAAGCAAGCAGAAAGAATATCATAACATTCAACCAAGCAAAGTGGGACTTAAACACAAGAGACTACACAGGCCACTTAAGGACAATAAATGGCACAGGATCACAGAGTCATTTAGGTTGGAAAAGATATCAAAGGTCATCAATCCTGTCAAAGCACACACATTTTTATTTGTGGACAATAAAAAAAAATACAACCCCTGAAATACTTAAACTCATTTTTATTTATAGATATTTTCCCAAGACTCTCAGGGCTCTGTATCAGTAATTAAACCACAATCCATGGAGCAAGGCCACAACAAAAGTCTGTAAGCACCATGCCATTGTACATACTGAGGTCTCAATCAACAAATAAAAAAGGAAATGCTGCCTGCAAACTACAGGAAATTCTGGGTTTGAAGCCTCAGCTAAGAACGGGGAGCTTCGGGACTCCTGTTCCACCTGGGAAAAAACATCTGCAGGATGATGAAAACCTTCTCACCTCATCATAATTGGTGTCATTCAAATCCTCATCATCATCATCTGCTGTCTGGTTCTTCTTCATCTGGTCCCCCACAGTTCTCTTGCCTGGCGGAGCGTGCCGGTCGTCCACGGGGTCGTTGGCATCGCGGGCAGGGCCGATATCAGAGCGGGTGGTGAAACCCGTGGCTCTGCAGGGATAAACCAGGGGCTGCTTAGCTCACTGCAACCTCAGCCTGTCACAGTCACTGCTTAGGACAGGCAAGGAAAATATAATTCTTTTGGCAGAACAGCATCAGACACTCCCCATGAACAGCATTCATAAAGCCAGGGGGAAAACGGCCTTAGAATCATCGACTAGTTTGGGTTGGAAGGGACCTCTGAGCTCACCCCATTCCAACCTCCTGCCATGGGCAGGGACACCTTCCACTATCCCAGGTTCCTCCCAGCCCCATCCAACCTGGCCTCAGACAATCCCAGGGATTGGGCAGCCACAGCTTTTCTAGGCAACCTTTTATATGGAGAACTTCTTCTATAAATACACTGCAACCACCCAGCTTATGGCTCTGCCACACATCCTGTGCATGGCCTCCTTTCTAAACTCCGTCTCTGGGTCCCTCAGCTGACTCTGCAGGCTGTGGGGCACCACGGGCTGTGGGTCTGGGCAAAGGGATGGGGCAGCTGGAGCTCTCCTGAACCCCCACACCCGCCTGGCAGCGCCTCGTGGGGCACAGCCAGCAGGATCCCCCAGGGAAGGGAACAGTGAATCACTGGGGGACGAACACAACTCACATCCAGCAAAGGACCCCCCAAAAATGGTCTCAGCCGCCACCAAACCCCCTCACTGTATCCTCAACAAAAGCCCCCAGTCTGACCATTTTTCAGGCGGTCCCACACACACAGAATGAGGAGGGACACAACCCTCTGCCGGTGAAAGAACCGATCTGAACTCATCCTTGGAGCCAGGCTCGCTTTGAAACACAAACCCGCCCAGCTACAGAGCGAACGCGAACCATTAGGAAGGGACAACATCGAAAAACCGTGCGGGGCCACCCCGAGGGGACGGGGATGAGTGGGGCAGCGAGCCCAGCCGGGAAAAAGGGCTCGAGAGAGCCCCGGCGCCCGGCGGAGGGACCGGGCTGGGAAGGGACCGGGCTGGGGGGGCCAGGCCGGGCCTGGCGGCGTCTCACCCGCGGCCCAGCCCCGGCACGTAACCCAGGGGCGCGGGCATGCCCAGGAACGGCTTCTTCTTCTTGTTCATGATGGCGACAAGGTGAGACCGAGGCCTGAGCGGAGCAGGAACCGGAGCAGAGCCGGGAAAGGCGGTCGGGAAGCGGCGGAAGCGGCGGCGGAAGCGGCGGCGGAAGCAGGCGAGAGTGCCCGCGAGGGCAGAGCTGC